AAAATTTTGAAAATCCACGAAATTTTTTGTGAAAATCCGCGAATTATTTTTGTTTTGTTTTACGATGTACACAAAGAGAACATGTTCACAATTAATTTAGAAGATGGGCGCGAAGCGCCCTCTAATGCTAGTAATATAAAAAAATAGGATTTAAAATTTATTTAAATAAGAATCATTTAATCCGCTTAGCACATGATTATCGCTTTGGTGGTTGGAGGCTGTGGGGGTCAAATGCTAAAAGAGGTTGGAGGGAGGGTTGGAAGAGGATAGGAAGATTGGAGGATAAGCTTCTCAGTTTAGCAAGAAACCTGGACTCCAAGATAGTTGGTGCAGATACCAACATTTGAGCTGTGGGTGTATCCAAAGGGGGTGGCAGCAACAGCATGTCCAGCAACAGCGTTGGTAGCAACAACAGCAGGTGCAGCAGCATAAGCCAGAGTAGGGGTGGCAGTATAGGTGAGAGCAGGGGCGGCAGCATAGGTGACAGCAGGAGCGGCAGCAATGGTATGAGTAGTGGCATAGGCGACTGCGGGGGCAGCTGCGTAGCTGACAGCGGGAGCAACAGCATTGAGGGCAGTGTATCCGTAGTTATATCCATAAGGATATCCGTAAGCAGAGTAGAGAAGGGCGGGATCAGCCTCAGCCTCAGCATCAGCAGATCTCTTCTTCTTGCCGCAAGGAACAGCAGCTCCGAGGTAGTTTGTGCACAGACCAACATTGGAGGAATGGGTCAGTCCATAGGGAGTAGCAGCAACGGCATGGGGATAGGCACCATAGGCGTATGCTCCTGCACCATAGGGGTATCCATAAGCAGAGTAAAGGAGGGCTGGGTCAGCCTCAGCATCAGCATCACGCTTTCCAAGAAAATGGACTCCATCAGCACAAGGAACAGGGACATTGGCAGCGTTTACGCAAGGGGCAGACTTGCCATATCCGTAGAAAGCACCAGCATATCCGTAGGGGTAGCCGAACACCTGGGGCTCAGCATCTCCAGCTACCAGAGCAACAAGGGCAGAAGCAAGGATCTGAAAATATTGATTTTATAAAATATTTGAATTGGAATTTCTTGGCAACAATTCATTTTAGAATTCAAGGAGAACTGAGCTGGGAACTTTTGAATGGTGGATATCGGGATTAAGGCTGAATCCACTCTTTTTCTTAATCTCCAGATTAACATAATCTTGCAAGATTATCTAAAAAGTGTATGAAAAACGATAAAATTCAAATCAATATTTAATCATCTGAGAAACTGTAGCAGCCAATCAGCGAAAAGCGGGCAACCAATGAGAAAACAGAAATATTCTCATTGGAGAAAACAATTAACGGATATCCAAGGAGAGAGAAAAAGAGTGGATTATGGACTAAAATGAAAAGTTTCCACAGTGGATATTCGGATCAAGAAGTCAGGATTAAAGTTTATCCATTCTAAAGTTTTCAGCTCTGAAATCATTGCACCACAAAGAAAAAATTCAAACTTTAATCAAAACATTATATAAATAATAACAAAAAATGAAACATATATAGGAATTTAATGAAAATCTCAACAATGTTAGAAATTCAACAAATTTGAATAAATTTTTGGATATTTATTTTCCGTTAAATTATCAACATTTAAGGGAAGGAAAATTTTTACAGCCTTTCCGAATTTTAAACATTTTGCTGATTTTAGTGAAAAGGTCAAATGGTTAGATAAATAAGAAAGAGCTTTTCAAAAGTCCAGGCCTGCACTTCTATCGAACAATCTAATTTCATTTAAAGTTATAGCTCTTTTAGTTTTCAATAGAATTATACTTACTAAAGATTTCATGTTGAATAATGGATGCAGCTCTGATCTATTTGATCCAACTGATACCCAACATGGGGCGCTCAGCCGTTTTATATGAGCGCGCAGAAAACTGGGCGGTAACGCGCACATTATACATCACACTGAATGTGCCCCTCCTATGCGCAGTCTGCAGCCTCCAGCCTGTTATGTTTCAAACTAAAACTTGACATTTAAACATTGTATATAAAAAGTCGCAGCTGATTATATGATAGTTGTGAAAGCAAGAAAATTGGTTACGCTGTTAGATTTCACAGTAATTAGATAGCGCCTGTAACATTCCTGAGAAGGAATTGAAACAATGCATTTTTAACAGTTTAATCTTGCAGAATTGGGATTACATTTTTGACCGTGTACAATTGTTCCTATAGGCTTACGAGGTGCTTAGCGCCCATCTTCTATTTCAACTCCTATCAGTGTGCATTTTCTATTTGTAAAATATATCACAAGAATAAAAAATGCGGATTTCATCATATTTCAAAATTTTACGAAAGTTTTAAAAAATGTTAACGGTTAATTTCAGTTGGTGAAATTATACATTATACTTCAAGTTTGTTTTGCACTTCAAGTTTGTTTTGCACTAAAGAAAAGTTATGTTAAGTCAAAAAACAAACTAAAGTATCATGTACATTGGTAGGCGATAATATCAATCTCAGAAATCAATATATTGAAGACAATTTTGATGTATATCCAGCTTTATAAAAAAAACATGGAAACAGAGAGAAGCTGAAAATAAAAAAGCTTCTCTTTATTTACTTGTAAACTTGTAATGTTAGAAAAGGCTTGTTAATGAATAAAACTTAAATCAAAAAGACGTCTTCATTATATTGATATAATCGCCTACCACCGCATAAACCTATCTTTTTTAATCAAATCTAATAGTGTTGAAAGGGACTGATTCACAATTTCACAACGGCACCCTCAAACCCTCGGTCAAATTAACTATAAGGAAGGTAAAGCCATTTTCTATCTTTAATCTTGTTAAATTCTGACAATTTTCATCTTTTTCCCTGAAGCATAAATCCGCAGGTTCCGATTTCAAAGAGCTCACAATGGATTTCAATCAATTTTCTGCTTAAAAAAATTCATTTATTTTCCAAATCCTTTCTTTTTCTTTAAACTATAGTTATATGAAAAGTTATGAATAAATTAATTACACCTCCAATAGAAGAAAACAAACAGGTTTCGATAATTAATTATTGATCATGAAGTTAGAACCAGTCAAATCTAGTTCTTCACTCAAATAGGAGGGACATCCGCTTCTAAAAGCTCCTTTAATTCGATCTTAACGAACACGTACTTTTAAAAATAGTAAAACAAATTAGTTTAGCCATAGAGAATAGAATATATATATATATTAGAGGGGAATTTAGAGAATATCTCGGTATGAATTTTGTCAGTCCCTTTCAGTCTGAAAAGGAGTTCAAAGTGTACAAATCATGTAAATGTTCACAAATTATATGCAGTAGAGTTCGCGGACTGTACAATTCTTGGTGATTTTGCGTACATAAGCTATCTATGTTTATTTATTTATCTATGGCTTTGCCTCAATATCATACACTGAGAGAAGAATAATAACTATGTATCTCTTCATTACATGGAGGCATACAGGGATGCAATACATAAAGAAAGGAATATTTCATAATAGAACATAATACCTTGTTGGGTCCAATAGCATTATGAGCTTCCCTTCTGTATTTATTGCATACTTGTTACCTCAGCCTCTCAGGTGAACGAAGAAATATGTATTTTTCAACTTTTATGCTTTTATGGAGATTTTTTCACTTTTGAACAAAATTCATCAAAATCTACCTATTTCATGTTTTAAAAACTGTAAAATCTATTTATTTGTCAGTCAGAAATCAAATCTAATTCATGTATTCGGTTACGACTCAAATATGGTTGGTTCCACTTAAAATCGTATTAAAGGTTTCAATATTTAAGCTGGTGCTCAATCAAAACCGGTTTTTGACGGATTTAAGACGCGGCTAAAATTCATTAAATTAGTAAATCAGAACTGTTATAAAACGTTGTAACCAGAAAACTGTAAAATGATTGTCATCTCTGTTCTTTCTTGTAATAAAAATTAAGCAACGGTTTTTTTAATTTGTAATTGTTAAAAAAGACATATTTATAGTAATGTAAGTTACAAAGGAATTAACATGTTGCCATTAACTTAAATTCTCGAAATCCTTATATCTTTGCAACAGGATGACATAAACCTTTGATATTTCAAACTTAGATTTTATGATCCAGCAGAATTCATAGCTTGAAATATCTAAGGTCTACAACATCGGGTGTTAGAGATAGAGGGATTAAAAATCAGAGTTTGTAGCAAACATGAATACATATCAAATCTAAAATGAAAAGTAAGACAATCCTTGTTTTCTCGATAGAACTTTATTTTTATTTAATTAAGAAAAAAATTCCTCTATTCCAGTAATCCGTTTCTTAAACCACTGTACTGCAAATCACTGCAGTACACACCGGAAGCTATAGTTGAATTGTGATCTATTTTTAGTATATTTTTAGGCTTCTCCCCCCCCACCTCACTCATTTCCTTCTTATAAATGCAAGGAGTACTTTTTATAAGGCTCATGTGGTTAAAAAACCTGAGGCCAAATTTAAAGAATTTGATCGGCGGCTTGAATTTGAGACACGGCTCAAATATGGTTGGTTACACTTAAAATTGTATTCAATGTTTCAAGATTTAAGTCGGCGCTCAATTGAAACCGGTTTTTGGTGGATTTGAGACGCGGCTCAATTTCATTAAATTCGGCCTCTGTATTATTACATCTCCAGAGCTGAAAACTTTAGAATGGGATATCCTTAATCCTGATCGGATAATTAATCTGGAGATTAAAAATGAGAGGAGAACAAGCAATATTTAATCTCGAGATTAAGAAAAAGGGTGGATTAAGCCTTAATCCCGATATCCACCATTCTAAAGTTTTCAGCTCAGTATATACTCGGATCTTGTAATTATTTCTCCAATACATAGGCAGACCTAAGTCGCGGTTTAAAAGCTTCAGCTCGAGTCGTAATTAATTCCTTAAACTAAATCTTAGACCCAACTCTGACGACAGCTTGTGTCACGTGATCTTGACATCTGCGAGATCTAATGCTCGACTTACGAAATTAGGCCCAATGAAAATAAAACCAACCTCGGTTGGTTTTTGTACGTGGAGAATAATTTTCAATGTTAAGTTTTGTTCTCTTCAAACCCCCGAATGCACCAATTCCAACCATGAAAATCCGCCAAATCCAATATTTGATCGGTCTTATGAATTCAATTCTTTGAAAAATTAAACGCAACTGAAATCCGAAAGCCAAACCGTAAATAAGACCCAACAACAGCTTAGACCTGAATCGTATTTTCCTGAATCTTTTAAATCGCAGGCTCTGGTAATTATATCTCCAGTAATTGTGGGCTCCAGTATCTACACGGACCTGAATAGTTCCAAAACCTAAATCCGGGTTAGATTTCTTCAATATCAGATGAGTAGACAGATTGCACAACAGCCGAGCCCATGAACTATTACATATTGAGATATCCATTCAAAAATGGGTTAATCCAGCCATTTGTTCGTGAAATTAAAGGGAGTATTCGGGAAATATTAAAGAGGGTATAGGTTGACGTCGAATAGAATTTGATATCGATTGATACTGATTTTACTTCTATCTGTTGAGTCTAAAAGGAGGGCGTAGCGTTCATGCAAATTCACAATTAGTTGCATTTTTCCACTCAGATCGTAAATAATTCAATTAGATTTAATGGTTGCCATCCTAATAAATCTGTGGTATGATTGCAATCCT